ATACATACATATATATATGTATGTATATATATGTATGTATATATATATATATGTATATGTATGTATGTATGTATATGTATATATTGTGTTATATATATTAAATAAAAATGACTTAGAGATTAAGTTTGAAAAATGTGTATTTAAGATAAAGCACAAAACTAATGTATCTTACTGCCATTAAATTTCCAAAACATCAATTTTGATAAAATGTTTTATTAATAGTATAGAGATGTGTTCCTCATTTGGATTGATTAAATTGTTAAGCCTAAATTAGATTGATCATAAATCTAACTAAGAACTTATCAAGGCAATTGGAGCTTGAGTTAGTCATAGTCAAATCTCACTAGCCACTTGGAAGAAAATCCTTCTTCATCTGCATCACTTAACTATTAAACATGTATCAGCCCGAACTCTAATCCATCGAAATATTGTCTGCTTTGGCCTAAGGGCCCCATGTTTTCTAATATTAGTGTAAATTTTCAGGAGATCACTCTTCCTTGAAGTGTCATCGGACAAACACAGATGTCATCGGACAAACACACTTAACTCTCTTGAAGACATCTGTGTTTAAGAGCTCAGTTTTATTCTACTCAAAATGTTTCACGGTATCTCTCAGCTAAGCAACTTTCATCTTCATCAATGCTTGTAATTCTGAATCATTCACCAAATAAATAGAATTCTAAAGACAACCCCTACAAAATTCAAATTGTCGCTACCTCCAGTTAGCACTTTCCCAACTAGTGTTTAAGATGTGGCTTTCAAGGTGGCATTTTATGCTTATGCACGTCATCCTCACCTTCCTCCGGCTTATTACCGGCAGTCTGTTCAGGGTTCCAAATTAATTTTGTTCATATTTTTTTTTATTTTAATGTTAAGTGAGAAAATTTTTAAATTTAAATTTTAGACATGTGAACATATAAAAATTGTGTAATATCTCATGTGTGTGAAAAAATGTGAATTATTTTTCTACAATTTTTTTATTTGTATCATATATGTGTTTCTCCAGGGGTTTTGTATATTATTTGCAATTTATAGAAGTTTAAGGTTGCATTAGGAATAATTTGCACCTAAGGCCCCAATTCTAGCACCTGGCTCCAAGTTGTCATTCCATAGAAGTCTGGCACAAGTTGGCGCCTCACCCAGGCGTGGACTTCACTTCAAAACAGAGAACCAAGAAGTTTGTAGGTGCCAATAAGTTGCCCCAAGGCTCTCCATCAGTGGAAGTATGGCACCACTTTTGGCCACCAAGGCACCACCTCTTAGGCATGACACCCTTCTCCAAACCAAGCAAACAAAATTCTGACGTCAGTTATCCAGCATTCTGGCGCCACTTTCCAGGAAGCTCAATGCCACCTATGGGAAACCTGATGTTTGGCCCAAAAGCAAGACGAGAAGTACGGCTCTCTAAGAAGGAACTCTGGCGTTAGCTGATCGAAATCAAAAATTAGGACAATTCTTATTTGTGTGGCATCGTCATGGCTACAAAAGATGAATCTTTTGACATTTGAAGTCTCTCCTCTAGCATTTTTTAGATCTTGATCCTTTGAGTGACATTAAGGGGGAGAAAATAGAAACCGTTAAAGAATAAGTAGAGAATGTCATCAGAAAACTATTGGGAGTAGTCAAAGCATTTCAAATGAAGGATCTGAGGGAGTTTTGTGAGTATGAGAGGGTGGTCGCCTAACAGAGATCAAGTGTGGAGAGTGAGATTGTGCTTGTTGTGTACTTAGAGTGAGAAATCTTAGAGGGTTCATTTTAACTCCAGTAATTTAGTGGAGCAATTTAGTGAGACCGCTCTAACTTGTATGTGCATTGAATTCAAAATCAATTATTTGTTATTTCCCTTTTATGTAAGTAGAAACTAAAACTCTTTCCCCCTTGGATTGGTAATCTATCAATGTTAGTATCATCCATAAAGTGTGATTGAATTTATGCATGTGTAATGTTGAGATGTTTACATTTTGCTCCTCATTTACTTTCAACATGGTCAGTTGATGTGTTAAAATAGATTTTGATATAGTACTATGGGAGTAGAATAGTTGAATGATTATGTTAATGTACACTATTTTAGGAGAATAGGGTTATTGATGTTAGAGTAGTGCAACCACATAGGAAAACAATGGAGTTTTTGTATGGTTAGTACACTAATTATAATATGAAGCTCCAACATTATATGTAACCACTAGAAGGGGCTAAGCAATATTATTTTTCATGGTTGTCAAAAATATTAGAGTCAATGGATAGGACTAGTGTGTTAGGTCCAATTCAAGGGAGGCTTTCTCATTTGATTAAAAACCCAAAACTTAGTACATAGAAAACTCTTTGTAAAAATTAGGTTTTTATACTTTCAAAAATCCATCAAAACTCAAATAATTCAGGTTTGACTTAAAACCTATACTTTATAACATTTTCTTGAATTTGGAAGTTAACTCATTCCTAGTGAGATAGACGCAAAGACTTGGACATGTATATTACTTAAACAAAATGTATACTTTTGTGATTGTCGTCTACTTTACAATAACTTTGGACATATCAAGTTTTTCATACCATTATCAGAAAATGAAATTAAATTTTTATTTATAACAATATTTTAATTGAATCGTTAGAGTTTAAGTTTGAAACACGTTCTATTTTTTTTTATTTAGTGATTTGTTTTGTCTGTATTTTATTTCTTATGTTATTATTTATATAGTTAAATATTCCAAAAGTATTATTGTTGTGTTTCCCTTGTGATTTCAGTCTGTGTAATTGCTTATATTTTATTTTGAGTAATTTATGTTTTGTGACTTATTTTGTATGTTAATTTAGGGTCTTTAGTCCTAGATGTACATGCATAGAGCTAAATCATCAGAACTAGTGTCGTACGACCTTGAACTTGAAAAATCTGACGAAGAAAAAATAAATAAAGCTTACAAAACTAAAAAAGATACACTTAGCAATGACAAACTTATTTAGTAAGAGAATAACATGCCCAAACCACTTAAGAAGTAAGTCAGCCCAATGGTATAAAAGTTTCACTTGAGTATTAATAACTCTACCATAGAACCAATTCTTTTGAGCTTTAAGCTTCTATCATTCAAATGGTTCAGAATAATCTGTTTGAGGGATCACCCACAGAAGGCCATAACCTTCACTTGGCTAATTTCTTAGAAATATGTGCTACTTTCGGGTTTAACAATATTTCTAATAATGTGATTAGACTAAGGTTATTATTTTTAAGCCTGCAACATGATCACTAGAAATAGAAGATCAGACAGCTGGTGGATCTTTGTAACACTTCTGTGGAATCTATGAATACTGTAACCAATAGAGTCAACAACCTCCTCCTCCAACACATATAATTTTGGATAGAGATTTTACCCTAATTTTTGCTGTAGCAATAAGCATAACATAGGAAACCAATAATGGGGTTGCAACCAGCCTAATTCCCTAAGAAACCAAAAAAACCAAGGAAATAAATTCAAACTAAGTCTAACTTACCCTCATGGATTACAATCAATTCCCAATTTGGAGAAAAGAAATTATCTTTGAAAAATTTGGTAGTGAATATAAGGAATCATATACAAATTCATGCTTTAGCCA